AAATTGGAAATTTTAGTTAATTCGACTTCCTATCAGTTTTATTGAGAGAGAGAGAGAGAGAGAGAGAGAGAACAAAAATATAAAAAACTTATTTAATAATTCATTGACAGAGATATGAAATAAAAACTGAGAAGATTGGTGTGCTAAACGTGTTTGTGCAGGGTAAAATTGCCGGCATTACCCTTACCACTCCCGTTTTTATGACCGTGCACGATTTGGGCTCCAACCGTAAGCTATCATTCAATGTTTTATAACTTTTAAAACTTATTAAAACACAATCCATTAATTAACAATATTTATGAGTAATAAATTATGACCTTTTAATTATTACTCAAAATAATTAATTGAAAAATTAATTTACTAATTAAAAGTAAACAATAAAACCACCATAACTAGTGTGTGAACTAATAAAAATACTCTACACTAATAGACACTGAGTTCCATAAGCTGGTAGAACACCCCTGTATGGCCAAACTGAAGGCCCGGTCCGTATGGATACACGTGGAACTGCCCGGACAGGACTTTGACGCCCCAGACCTGCCCGAGTCCTATACATTCCCATCGATGGACAATATTGCTGAAAATCTGGTCAATGTTCTCAACTATTTTAAGTAACTTTTATAACTTTTTAATTTATTATTTCATAACTTACTATTTAATTTTTTAAGTTGAAAGTTTTAAAATTGTTTTATTTTGTGTTTTTAAAAATGATGGTCGTTTTTATGCGAAGGACATTATTTTTAGACTATGTTTTCAAACAAAACACACACATTGTCTGCAGTCTATTAATAGAGTTGATATAATTGTAGTTATATTTAGATATAATTGATTTAATTGGGAGACCACTCTTTTGATTGTTGACCAGTAATTGGATAAAATAGATATTTATTTCACTTTAAACTTTTATATGCCATTAAAATGTAATGATTATGACTATATTATATTACCATGTGGGAGTTTCATCTTAAATCTATGACATAATCATAAGCTTACAATAATTGTCGGTAGTTTTAAATTATAGATTTATCATGATTTATTACAATTACTTTCAATTAAATATGCATTTCATTCAATCAAAAGTAGTTAAATAAAGTATTTTCCTCGCGTTTCCCTTTTATTTGTCAATTAGTTTTAGATTTTTTGTTTTGTAAAAATGATTTTATTTTTTGTATGAAAATTATCATTACATTTGCCGTAAATTAATTAATCATGCTTTGTTTTATAAATATAAAAATTGGCATATTTTATTTGTTTTATTATTTATCATTATTTAATATGACGTATAAATTATTAATTTAGTAATAATACATAATCACTACCTTCTGACTAACTAATAAAGTTGACAATACTGTATAATATACAAGAATATACAGTGTATATTCTAAACTGTTATACATTTTTGAACATTTTAATTCGATTAATCCAAGAATTTCAGCCCATTTATAAAGTCGAAAATCCAAATTTACAGAATCATAACAGATATCCAAGGTACAAATTTGCCATTAACACGTAAAATATACAATGTGCATGGTTGTATGTATAATGTGCATGGTTGTATGTATAATGTGCATGGTTGTTTGTGATATTTTAAGTTAAAGTACACATAACTTTTCCATAGAGAATACATGGGTCCGTCTAAAAATTTTACATGTATGTTTTGTATATTAATTTTATGTAGAAGTTAGCGCTGAGTTTGAATATGACATTTAAAATCTATCTTGAATATTTTTCGAATTAATCAAATTGTAATGTTTTTACATTGTATCCATTCTATTATAAATCTGATTTGAAATTATTAATCAGCGTTAAATTCTACGTCAATTTTATATATTAAATATAAACAATACATTAAAATTACTAAAAGTTTACACCAAAATGCTTTAACTGTAAGTTGAATAACTCGAGATGGGATTTATAAAACACATGCAAATTTTTGTACGAACCCACTAATATACTATTAACATTATTCTCTATGTAAAATGGTGTCTACATTGACGTAACTTTGCTCATATAACCAAGCATATTGTGTATTCTATACACTGTATAGAATGTAAATGGCAAATTTGTGCCTAAGGTATCTGGTTATGATTTGTGAAGTCAGATTGTAGATTCAATAAATGGGCTAAGAAATTTTTAAAAGAATATATTAGAATTTAAAATGTCGAAAAGTGTATATTAAACAATTTAATTATATAGATGTAATCAATATCAATTATTATAAATATTTTAAAATTCTAAATTCAAAGCAAAAATCGGAGAATGATCATATATAGATTGATCGTGGGCGATGTCTTATATATTTTATATCTTATACAATATAAAAAAGATAATAATAATACAATATTAAAAATGGCAAAACACTAAAATAAATCTAAATTGATATATTGGCGTATTTTAATCCATTTAGCATCAAATACTGTGTGACTCTGGGCGAGGGCGCCGGCGCCAACATAATAGCCCGTTTTGCGGTAATTAAATAATAATAATAAATAGCAATACTAATAGCCGTAAAAAGATTTACTGTTAAAAAAATTGTACAATTCTTGTATTTTTCAGATGTCTTTTCCCGACAGAGTTTTGGGAAACATATTAATTCACTGCACGTGTAGTGTTGAGAGTGTTATGCAATACTTTCACGATAAAGTAAATACCAATTAAATACTTATTAAAAATAATATCGTATTTAATACCGTTATGAATCATAAGTTATGACTGAAATACACGCATATTTAATGTGCGATTGTTTCTTATATAACTTTATAAAAAACATATCCATTAAAATGTCTCACAATTTGATATACAATTTAACGATCAGATGATGACTTGGAAATTGAATGCATTGGGAATGAATTCAACGGCTGAACAGTATTTGGTTTTCCATAAGTTCGGAGCGGTATTTGATTACATTATGCTAAAAACACCGATATTTAATATACCATATAAATTAATATCATGTCTAATAATAATTATAATAAAACTTAATATCGTATTTAGAGTCAAATATTTGCATTTAAAATACAACACAATAGAAATATTTAGCAAATTGTTTAAATGTGAAAAAACTAATTATTATTTTATTCTCTCATATATTTTAAATTCTTTGCATGAATTCCTAACACATTGTGTTATGTGTTGTTGTCGTGTCTGTCGTCTGTTGTCTCGCAAAACAAAATATTGAATTATTATTTGAAATAATAATTTTCTAAACGTAACACAAAATCAATAACTTCTGTCTATTAAATGCTATCGATTTTCAATGTAATCGCAAAAAGGCTTTCGAGGTTTGCATTTGATTTGAATGAAATTATATGTCCCCTAAATTGTAGAGTAGATTAGATGTTAGCTCTAGAAAAGTCTTCCCTATCTCTTCCTCACTACCAATCTTTCACTTTAATGGAGATATTTATCAAAAAACATTTCTTTCAATTTGTATTCAATTTGCAGACAGAGAGCAGTCAAGAGAGGGATCGTGTGATACAGGACTACATCAAGAAACTGCACAGTCGTATGAATGCCAAGAATCTGAAACTTTATGTCGAATCATATCTCGCGTAAGAATTCAATACATAATCACATCCTTTATATCAATAATGAAAGTTATTTCAATATTAAATGACATATAAAATATACACCCATTGAAACATATTTTACATATTTTGTTTATAACATCAGGAATTTTAAATATTAATTACCAAAAGTGAATTGTAAACACCAGTATAGGGTACACCGACAAACATGTAGGACACAAATGTCAAAACTACAACATTCTTGAAATACAAAACATAATTAATATCAAACTTGTAATGAATTATTTGCAAACCATATATCGTATGCTATATAACAGTCGGACAGATCTGACGCCACAGTTGAAGGACAAGATGAGGATCGACTCGATGCTGACGTCGGGCTCCCGGAGCTCACACTCGACACACATGGATCAGATGCAGGCGGCGATGGACCCCAAACTGACCACAAGAGTCAAACTGGACAACTGCGGTGATGTGCTTCAGGACGCGCCCGAGGCTTTCGCTTACAATTTGCTGCTCTTCTGCCAGGGATTAGGACTTTGTTAGTATTGATTGATTACTCGGCAAAAAAAGTTTTTCTTTGCCCTCAATTATTGATAAACACATTTAGTGTTGGAAATCAGTTATAGATATAATCAATAAGTGCTATATTGTTCATGTATTTGCAGTCTCAGCTCTTCCAGTCTCACGTCACGGCTCTATCTGTGCCTAAAACAACGTATTGACAATCAAGACATTTGTCGGACATTATATTTACCGCTGAACCACTGAAATGGCGACAATTTTTTCTGGCGTTTAATAGATTATTGAGTTTTGTTTTTAGCATATGTTTTAAGTCTTTATAGATTTATCCGTAAAGTACACAAAGAATAATGAGAAGTGTTTTTAATTATTCTCTTTTAGTATAAATAGTGTTATTTTACATAATTATTATTATATTTGTCACAATATTTAATTAATACTGTATTTGTTCACAAATAATAATGAAATATTAGTATTATATTTGTATATAAAATAATCTATAAAAATAATACTTGTGTTAAAAGAGAGAAATAGACGAGAGAGAGAGAGAGAGAGAGAGAGAGAGAGAGAGAGAGAGAGAGAGAGAGAGAGAGAGAGAGAGA